CCTCCATGGAGTCCAAGACTGGTTCTCCCTCTCCCACGTTTATCCTCACAACAACCCTGTGAGGGAGGTTAGTCTGAGGGAGGGTGGCTTCGGGCCACCCCGCGAGCTTCGTGGCAGAGTCCCACGAAGAGTCCCTCCTCCTGCGCCTTGTGCTCTTCTGGTGGCCACAAGTTCCAGGCCGACGGCTGCCGACGCCGAGTGACTGTGGGAGGGAACAGCCCGGGAGGACAGCGAAAGGAAGCCCCCTTGCTGCCCCTTCTCCTGTGGCCTGGCCGCTTCCAGATTCAGCTCCCTTGGACGGCCTCTGCGGGGGATGGGGGGGACGGATGGACAAGAGGGAATGGGCCTGCATTCCTTACGTAAGAACATAAGAGACGCCAATGTTGGATCAGGCCAAAGGCCCATCCAGTCCAACACTCTGTGTCACACAGTGGCCAAATATACCAGGTGCCATCAGGAGGTCCAGCAGTGGGGCCAGGACACTAGAAGCCCTCCCACTGTTGCCCCCCCCCCAAGCACCAAGAAGACAAGAGCATCACTTGCCCCAGAGCCCCTATCTATACCTTGTGGCTAATAGCCACTGATGGACCTCTGCTCCATACGCTTATCCAATTCCCTCTTGAAGCCGCCCATGCTTGTAGCTGCCACCACCTCCTGTGGCAGTGAATTCCAAGTGTTAATCACTCTTTGGGTGAAGAAGGACTTCCTTTTATCCGTTCTAACCCGACCGCTCAGCAATTTCATGGAGTGCCCACGAGTTCTTGTATTGTGAGAAAGGGAGAAAAGTACCTCTTTCTCTACCTGCTCTTTCCCATGATGCATAATCTTGTAAACCTCAATCATGTCACCCCTCAGTCATCTTTTCTCCAAGCTAAAGAGCCCTAAGCGCCTTAACCTTTCCTCCCTGTCCTGCCTGGTTCTGTGGGCCATTCCTCCAGGGGAGTATGCAAGAGGGTGACAGACCCACGCAGCCTGCAGAAAGCATCTAGCGAGAACCAGCTTCTCTGGCTGTGCCGTCTGGGTGAAACGTTGAGGCAGACGGCAGCTTCCTCTGCCCCCGAGGGTGTTCTCCCCACCACCTCGGGCCTTGTGTGGTCAGCCCTCTTGGGGGACGCTAGTGGTCACGCGTCAGCCTGAGGGGCCCGGGCGGGCAGGCAGCCAAGGTCAGGACTCGGGACTGGATGGGGCATTCCGGGAAAGGCCCGCGGTGGGGGCTGGTGGGGCGAGAGTTCCCCGCAGGGCTCAGCAGGCGCTTGCGAGCACCGCTGCCTGTCAGGAGCCAGTGAGCAACGCTGCCCCTCCAGGGGAACTGCCAGGTGCTCTGTAGCAACTTGCTCCATGGGAGGGAAACCTGCTCCAGAGTCGGTGAGAACCTGCTCCAGGGCCTGAGCCTCCTGGCCCAACCGTTGCAGCAGCAGCTGGAATTCAGGCACCCCCTCAAATAATCCGTAAAGACGAACAGAGTTTTTGGTATGTGCTTTCGTGGGTCACTCTGCTCACTTCTTCAGACACCTCACAAAAGCTTTTACTAAAAAAAATTGTTATTAGTCCTTAAGGTGCTCCCGAACTCCTTACCCTCTTCTACTGCTACAAACAAACAGGGCTACCCGTCTTTGTGAATCAGGCAGTTACTGCTCTCTGAGGAGGGTCAGGGGAGGGAGAGGCTGCTCTCGCTCTCCAGCCAGCAGCCCATTGCTAGTTGAGGTGTGTGGAGGGGCCAGCGGAGCTTCCCTTCCCCTCCTCCTTGCAGTTTGTCTCTGGCAGCAGGAGACTACACTAGAGCAGTGTTCCCTCTAAGCTGAGTTAGTGTGAGCTAGCTCACAGTTTTTTAGTCTCCAGCTCACACATTTTTGTCTTAGCTCAGGAAGGATGGCTCCAGAGCAAACTAATTGATGCAGTAGCCAAATCGCTTGCTCACAACTTTAATGCCAGTAGCTCACAAAGTAGAATTTTTGCTCACAAGACTCCACTGCTTAGAGGGAACACTGCACTAGAGATGTAAAAATTTTGGAAATTTTGAAGCTTGGGCCTTGCGTTTGTTTTTTTGGGGGGAGAAACTGAAATTTTTGGAAAAATTGAAAAAAACGCTACATTAGCACTTCTTTTTTCTTTTTCAGATTGAAAGTCATTCTGTTACTTTAGGAACATAAAATATGACTATGAACATTTATACTTGGGAGGAAATTATTACAACTAGCATATTAAAAATATAGTGTATCCAAACAATTATCATGCAAAAACAAAAGTGAAACCTTTTTCTTTTCTTTTCTAAAGGAAGAAATGCATCTTGTTCTTGCATTGGAGAGTTCAGTTTGTAACCTAGGACTTGCTTGTCCTCAGTGCACAGAAATTAGATCAATCTGATACCATACATATTTTTTAGAAATGATTTGGAAAATATCTGAACACCTTGTCTTAAAATATTTTATTCATCATGTTAAAATAAAACGTTCCATCTTTTCTTTTTTCAGTTTTTCCAGTTTTTCGGAAAAAACAAAAAAGGCTTTTCCCGGGTTTTTTCCGGGCCTTCATATCTCTAGACTGCGCCCATTGCAGGGATTAGGCCAAGTGAGATTTGAGGCCCACAGCAGGAGGGGGGGCTTGAGTGGAGGAGGTTCTGGACCTGGAGGAAGGGTGAATAAGGGGGGGGGGCATCTTCCACAGAGGCCTTTGCATGTACATATGAAGCTGCCTTATACTGAATCGAGAACCTGGGTCCATCAAGGTCAGACTTGTCTACTCAGACTGGCAGGCGCTCTCCAGAGCCTCAGGCAGAGAAAGGTCTTTCACATCACCCACTGCCTGGTCCTTTTCAACTGGAGATGCCAGGGGTTGACCCAGGGAGTTTCCGCATGCTCCGCCACTGAGTCACAGGCCCCTCCCTATGAAGCCTGGACAGCCAGAAGGCGAATGACGGGAAGATGTAGCCTATAGCATTTTGCCCCTCTGGGGAAGGGGCTTTGCCCGACTGTTTGGGGATCTTTTTGCATACATGTCTCGCAGTTGTAATTCTGGGCTGGACTTATTTTAGTTGAGACACTATCCTTTGGTCTCTCTCTGTGCCTTACGATGGCATTCCTTGTTTTCCATCAAGGGCTGCGAAGGTCACCAGACTCGTGTGTATGCATCTGTGTTGTGCTGCCCCATGGGAATGCTAGTGCCCCATAACATCTGCAAAAAACATGGTCTTAAAATGTTCACACAGCTAACAGATGTATCTTGGGACTGGTGTTCTGACAAAGCAAGAGTCTGTCCTGGGAGGGTTGCAGGTTTTTTTACAGTCACTGGCTTATTTTCCCTTGAAATCAGTGTTTGGCCGCTCAGATAAGTTCCTTTGTACAAGTCAGATCGCCTCTCCCCACAGACGTGAGCGTCGAATCTTGCAGTCCGTTCCCGTGATCATGCCTTATATTTTAATTTCCTCCTTTTGGGTTGTATGTGTTCTATCCTTTGGTCTCTCTCTCTCTGCCTTACGATGGCATTCCTTGTTCTCCATCAAGGGCTGCTAAGGTCACCAGACTCGTGTGTGTGCATCTTTGTTGGGAATGCGAGTGCCCCTCAACATTTGCAAAAAACGTGGTCTTAAAATGTTCACACAGCTAACAGATGTGTCTTGGGACTGGTGTGCTGACAAAGCAAGAGTCTGTCCTGGGAGGGTTGGGGTTTTTTTTACAGTCACTGGCTTATTTTCACTTGAAATCAGTGTTTGGCCGCTCAGGTAAGTTCCTTTGAACAAAAGTCAGATCGCCTCTCCCCACAGATGTGAGCGTCGAATCTTGCAGTCTGTTCCCGTGATCCTGCCTCATAGTTTAATTTCCTCCTTTTGGGTTGTATGTGTGTATTTAAGTCCTCCTTTCAACTTTTCTTACCGTGCGTGTATTATCACGGGTGCATTCTCATTGTTCGCTGCCTTGGTGATCCCGTTCAGGCCGAGAAGTGAGATATAAATAAATGCCGTTACGAAAGGCCGTGAGCACGTGCCCGCAGAAGCAGCATAGAAGCCACGCAAGTGGCTGGCTGGCGGCTGTGTAAAAAGGCCCCTGCGCCACTGGCAAGGCCTTGTGTGCATGGATGTACTCTTGCTAAAGCATGTGACCCCCCCACGACTTAGTAACGAAGCCCTGTGAGGCAACGTGGCTTCCGAGCTGCAGCCGCTGGGCTCTGCTCCTCTGTCTGCACACAACAGTGCGGCTTCCTTCACCTGAGGAGCTGCCAGAGGCAGGGCAGCACTGCCTGATGCTGGGAAGGAAGAGCCCCCACCCCACCCACCAGCCGCTGCTCACTGTGGTGTGGTGGTTAAGTGAGTGGACTCTAATATCTGGGTGAACCAGGTCTGATTCCCCACTCCTGCACTTGCAGCTGCTGGGTGACCTTGGGCAAGCCGTAGCTGTCCTTGAAAGGGCAGTTCTGTCAGAGCTCTCTCAGCCCCGCCTACCTCACAGGGTGTCTGTTGTGGGGAGGGGGAGGGAAAGGAGTTTGCAAGCCGCTCTGAGACTCCCAAGTGAAGGGCAAAGGGAATAAATCCAATCTCTTCTTCCCCTGTTGCCCTGGCTGGAGTGCATCACCCACTACCCGAGAAGTTCCATGTTGCCTGTCCTGCCTGGCCTACACTCTGTTTGGTAAATCCAATCTCTTCTTCTCTTCTGGAGTGCATCACCCACCACCCCAGAAGTTCCATGTTCCCTGTCCTGCCTGGCCTACACTCTGTTTGGGAAAGGGTTTGAAACGGTCCAGGGGGGTTGGGGACCCCACGTTAGGCCTTCCTCTGTCTTCCTCTCTTGCAGGAGACTTGGTGTTCTCCTATCGAGACCGTTTGATTCACGTTTTCCTGCGAGGAGCGAGAGACCCGGAGGCTGCCGTCCGAGCCCGCCGTCTGCCGTTTTGTGGCAGCCATTTTCTGGCTGCGCTCACCAAGCAGTGACAGAATCCCAGAGGTGCCCCTCGGCTCGCGCAGGTTGGGGACCCCATGCTAGGCCTTCCTCTGCCTTCCTCTCTTGCAGGAGACTTGGTCTTCTCCTATCGAGACCGTTTGATTCACGTTTTCCTGCGAGGAGCGAGAGACCCGGAGGCTGCCGTCCGAGCCAGCAGCCTGTCCAACCTCGGAGAGCTGTGCCAGATCCTTCGCTTCCAGCTGGGCTCCGTGATCCATGAGGTACGGCTCCTGGCCACTCGCTCCCAGTCAGAGGCCTTGGCCTCCCGGGCAGGTTCCCTAGGGGAGCGCTGCAGGCCTCCTCTTCCCGTCTGGAAGTCTGGAGTCTCTGGTGAGCTGCTACTGAAGGGAAGCCACGGTTCAGGGTGTCCTTGGCGGTGCCACAACTTTGGGAGCCTCTGTTCCTTTCCTTTATATCCTGCATTTCTCATTGTGGATTAAGGCAGATTACACAGTGCAAAAAACCACACACACACCAAAAACAGTACCAGGCATCAAATAAACAATGCAGAAATTGGAATCATAAAAGTTGAATTAAAAGTTGTAAGAGCAAGACAGTACACACACTGAATAGTGGATTAGACTGCAGCGCTGTCCCCTTTACAAAAATGCCGTCCTGAACACTTCTGTTTTGCAGTCTGCAGAATGAGAGAAAAGTGTAGGAGGATTCCTGACCTTTCCAGGCAGGCCATTCCACTGGCGGGGCCTACACCGGAGGACGTGTACAGGCAGCCATTCATCCCATTTGCAGGGTCTTCTCTGTATGGCCCCCGAGAGTCATGCTAAGCTGCCCCAGGGGACCTACGGGGGCCTTGCATGCGACCACGGTTTTCCGTCCCTGTTCTTTCCCCCGTCGATTAGGCCTGCGACACTGACCGTGTCCCGAAGGGGGCCCCCCCTCCCCTTCTCCCTTTGGGGGGCCGGGATGTGGCTTTGGCTGCCCAGGAGCCCCGAGCAGACCGTTACAGCCCAAAAGTCCCTGTTCTGTTCTGCAAGTACCTTTTGCCAGCAGCAGGAGCCTAATGATGCACTTGGGTGCTATGGAGATGGGTGCTATGGAGACGCAAGTCCGCCAGGCAGGGGCACCTTGGCCCTGGCAGGCAGCTCAGTTCTGCATGGAGATGTTCTGGGGGGGGGGGGCTTAGGACTGTTGTGGGCACCTGCAGACAGCCCTGGTTTTGGGGAGTGGAGTCAGGCTTTCTGCTCCAGGGTCTCGCTAAGGGCCAGCCACTCTCTCCAGGGCTGGAGTCTACCCTGTATATTAAACTTCATGTTTTTGTGCCTGGGATAGGTAACTGGTGAATTTGGAATGACTCCTGTTCTTTGGGCTGGCTATGCACGGTTGCATGCAGATTATGGTCTGTCTGTGAGCAGTGTTCCCTCTAAGCTGAGTTAGCGTGAGCTAGCTCACTGTTTTTTAGCCTCCAGCTCACACATTTTTGTCTTTGCTCAGGAAGGAGGGCTCCAGGGCAAACTGATTTATGCAGTAGCCAAATCGCTCGCTCACAACTTTAATGCCAGTAGCTCACCAAGTAGAATTTTTGCTCACAGGACTCCACAGCTTAGAGGGAGCATTGTCTGTGAGTCTACATTCATTGGCACCGAGAGATGCGCCTTTGGCTATACCAAGGGGGCATCTTAATGCAGTCGTCTTCTGAAGCCTGCAGGGGACTTGAGGCTGGTCGTGCCTCGCCAGGTACAGCCGTGCCTCCTGGGAGTCATGCAGCAGAGTGGCACGCTTGCCTTGCTGGCGGCAGATTGGCAGAAGAGAGCTGGAAGCAGCCCAGTTTGCATTGTGCCACTCCTGGGTTTTGAGGGCCTGCTGTACGCCTCCCCCCTGCTCTGCTGAAGCTCCTGGCACAAGAGGTGTGAATGCCAACCTCGTTCCAGGGCAGTTGCGAGTGGGTTTCCAGAGCTGTGCACCAGGGTCTCACTGCAGTCTCCTTTTTCCTAAGGAACCCCCCCCCCTTCTCTCTCCCCAGCCTGGGAATGGCTTGGTGCAGAACTCAAGTCACTTGTGTGTGTGTGCATGCGCGTTCTCGTTCGCGTGGAGGGGGGGGGGAGAGAGCTTCTGGCCCTGCAGCAGGCCGGGTGCCAGCTGATTCAGCAGAAGCTGCTGCAGTGGCTGCAGAGGGGGAGGGGAGGGGGAGCCGCTGCCCTTGAGCCGAAGGATGGATGCCCTGGTGAGAAAAGCCAGGGGGTGTAGCAGCCACAGAGATGCCCAGGAGCAAATCTCCTACGCCGGGAGGAGCCAGGGGCCGTTCCCCCAAGCTGGCCTCCCTCCCTCCCTCCCTCCCAGGCCCTTGCCCCGGCTCAGATGGGGACAATACTTCTCCCCCGTTGCTTCAGTGTCTGATTCCTCACTGGAGCATGCCGCACACAAGCAATGATTCTGTCGTCTTCAGTATCCTCCCTTCCTGTTCCCCGGGCTGCGCTGGCATGGATCTCCATGGTGCACGGCTGACATTTGAGGGCCCCACAGAAGGGCAGCGTGTTCTGCCTCCCCTAACAGGGCTCTCGTGTCTCCCTTTGTCCGGCAGGTGACTTTGTGTCTGGCAGCAATAGTGAAGTCCGACCACGAGGCTGCCGTGCGGAGAGCGGCGGTCCACGTCGTGGTGCTCCTGCTGCGTGGGCTCAGTGAGAGTGCCACAGAGGTGAGCCCCTTCTCCTTTCCTCCTGGCGGCAGGAGAGAGTGACCTTGTTGCTCCGGCTAGAAACAGCTGGCCCTCTTCTCCCCAGGGCAGCCAGCGCCAAGGCGACACTGGCTGGGAGCCCCCCAACCACCCACCCTGCCGGTGCTGTGCCCTGGCAGAACCCAAGAGGCGAGAGCCGCAGGAACCGGCCACAGGGCAGGAGCTGGCTGTTGACTCACCGCCGCCACCGGAAGCGCCTCCCCAAGAGGCCTGCCTCCTCCCCTTGTTTCTGCAGGCAGTAAAAGGCCAGGTGTGGCCCCAGTTGGTGCCCTTTCAAGGTGAACTCCCAGGCTGAGGACAAGCCCGTGGGCGATTCCTTCCCGCTGGGACTCCTCTTCGGCCCCGCTTCAGGCCCTGCGCTCTGGGCAGGGGGGGCAGAACTGGAGGAGCTCCACTAAGGCCTGAGCAATATTTCTGGGCGTTTCTTCAGGGGAAAAGACACGCTGAGCAATTCTGAGCCTCTGCGTTCAAGGCACACGCGCAGAGCAGCCCTGACTGGGCGACCCAGAGCGGAGCGGGAGGCTGGCTCGGCCGCACTTATGAAACGAAAACCTTCACTGACCAGAAGGCTTCTCCGATGCTGCTTCCCTCAGGTTGTGGTTGCAGCTCCTCCTGCAGCGCTCCACTTTCTCCGGCAGCGGAAGGGAAACCCGAGGGAGGGAGGGAGGGCCTGGCGGTGATGCGGTTGGGCTTTGCGCCACCCGGCAGTCCTGGCCCCACCCCCCTTTGTCACCACACCGGCTCAGTCGAGCCCCTCCCTTTTCTCTTTGGAGGGGGGTGCCAACCCCGGCTCTGTGGAAGCGGCTGCCTCTCCGCCTCAGGCCCGGCAAAGGGGCCCCGTTGTAGTCTTCTTCTTCCAGCAGTGGCCTATCAGCCCCAGGGAGCGATCCCAAGGTGTCTGCACTCGGGTGAAGAGGGAGCGTCGCATAGCAAACCGGAGAAAGGGAGAGTCTCACGGAAGGCATGGAGAAGTCGCCCCCTCCCTCGGTGGGGCTTTGGATGGGGGGAGGGGTGATCTGAGATCAAGTGGATCCCCTCCTCGGACCCTTGTCCCAGCCTTTGATAGCTGCTGGGGGGGAAACTAAGTGCCCCCCTCCCGTCACCCAGACACAGTTCCAACACTGAAGCACGGGATTGGCCCCGTGAACTCCTAGGGCGGCCGGGGCCCTCCAGACACAGCTAGCTGATTCCTCCCCCCCCCCCGACTCTGCCTCTCTGGGACTGGAGAGTCGTTGCTACTTTTTCCTGTCCTTGGGGGGAGATCAGCCGACTGCCCCTCTTCTTTATGGAGCCTGCTGCTCCTAAGAGTCAGATCTCAAAGACAGACAGGTGTGTCTTTTTGCAGAACAAGTTGATCGGGGGGGAGGAGGGCCTCCCCCCCCCAGTCTTCCTGGCTGTGACCCACCCGTTGGGGGGCAGGAGGGCCGTCGGCAACCCGATGGATCCCAGGGGCACCTCAGGAACGCTGCTGCTGCTGGGAAGCTTCTGAAAGGGAGGGAGGGTGGGTGGGGAGCTCCCCTGTGGCTGGCTTCCCGAGTGCCGTGGGAGGGAGCAGCGGCAGCTGTGGTCCAGAGCGCACCGGAGCCCTTCCGGTCGCCCCACAAAAAGGCTCTGAGTGGGGGGGCTTGGAGGATGAAACCCCCACCTTCAGCCTGCCACTCTCTGCTCCCTGGGAGAGGAGGTCCCGGGGTAGCAACGGCTGCGGAGGTGGGATGTTGTTACAGCCCCAGGATGAGCGCGGCCTAGAGGCAGGGAGGCCATCGTTGTCGTCTGGTCCTGCCCTTCCAAGCCAGGCCATCCTGACCCCCCTCTTGCCTCCCCAGGTCCTCCGGGACGTTCTGCTGGACCTGTACCGCCTGCTGAAGTTTGTGATGCAGTGTGAGGGAGACGAGGTCACCGTGCTGCACGCGCAGCTGGCGCTGGAGGAGCTGGACGCCATCGTGAGGCGGTTCCTGTTTCCGCCTCCGTCCCTGGAGAAGAAGATTGTGGTCCTCCCATAGACTGGCAAAGAGGAGGGGCGGTGGCCGGTGGGTGGGGAGTCCTTGCAGGCCAGAGTCCCTTGTTGCTGTGAGCCTGGCCCCAGCTGGAATGCTTCCTCCCCAGGGCCATGAGGACACAGGCAGTTTGCAAAGGGGAGAAGCTGGGCCACAGGCCAAGGCAGGGGTGGCAGAAGTCCTGCCCTTGCTACGGGGTGGGGTTTGACCCTGGTCTGAAGTGGGCAAGGCTGTCTGGGGGGGGGGCGTGATCCCAGGGCTGCTTCTGGTGTCCAGCAATAAACCAGTGGAAACCCATTCCCGGAGGACTCTGCGTGTCTCTGTACAGCGGCAAGAAGCACTCCCGGCCGGTGGGCGCATGGTCTAGTGGGTGGAGAGTGGAAGGCTGAGCTGGGCATGCCCTGCAGGAGGGCCGCTGTCTTGACTGGCGCTTCCCCCTGGGGGAGGGGGCAGAGGCTACCAAGGGGCAGGTGGGTGGGCTCTTTGCCCCTCCTCCACTGTCACTTCATTGGGGACAGCTTCTGCAGGGGGGGGGAGCCTCCCCTTTGCCTGTCCCCACATGACCCCCCCCAAAAAAAACCCTACCCTGGGCCTGCCTCCATCTGGTGTGTGTGGGGGAGTCTCCTAGGACTGGGGCCACTCCGGAGGCCCCCTGCCTGCCTGCCTGCCCAGGGAGCGCAGGGCTCCAGAGGCTGGGACGCCGGTGCGCTGCAGCAGAGCCGGTGCCTCCCCCCCCCCAGTTGCAGCAGGTCAGGTGCAGGAGGAAGGTTCCGGCGCCGG